TTAAAATATTAATTAAAAGTTTTTTGCTGCCTAATGAGTAAGTTAAACACACCTGTTTAATTTTGATGCCAAAACTTGGTATTTTCCCTCTTCTACTGCTCCTTCTGTTTTTGATGAATACAGGTGAACTCACCTGCTGCCCTTTATAGCACACCTGAGTGCTGGGTTTTCAAATTAGCACATGTGTGCTTCAACACCTTGTGGATGTGTTTATCCAATTCGTTCATTAACGTGGTCATTGGCAATCCAGGGCTTTGTAATGACAAATAAATAACGTCACAATCCTTATCTATGTCTAAGGTGTTCAAATGTGTGTAGAGTTTTACAAATCACTGTGTGTAATGTTTTGCAAAAAGAGTGAAGCAGACATTGTGTGTAATGGGTGTTTTGCTCCTTGGAGTAGAATTTAGCAAATTGTGTGGACATTTTTATTTTAGAGTGTAAACAATCGTAATAAACTGTAAATAAACAATTAGTACATGAAACACTAAAACAGAGGATATAATCCGAAGTCGCAAAATGTTTTCAAACAGCAGGATATGCATTACTGTCAGGCCTTTAGTGGTTTCCTCTTCATTATTTATTTTGCCTTCACAGGACAGAAAAGGACAGGAAGCAGGGGTTGTGATCAGGAAATGACACACAAGTCAAAATCAAACACATCATTGCATCATTTCCAGCACAAGTAGTCTCATTTTAAAGCAACGCTCTACTTTTTTTGGAAAATGGGCTCATTTTACAACTCCCTTTGAGCTGATGGTCGGCTCATTGGCCTGATTCAGCTTGCTGTGCCCTGGCACTTAGAGTTAAACAGATGAGTTTTACCATTGTTGAATCCATTCAGCTGATCTTCCGGGGGCCTCATGTACGAAGACTTGCGTAGAAATCATATTAAAACATTGCGTACGCACAAAGCTGTAAATGTGTGTACGCAGAAAAAAATTCAGATGTATGAAACTCTGCGTACGGCGAATCCCACGCATGTTCTTTTGTACATCCGAATGAACGTGAAACTGAGCGCAACATGCACGAGCACAAAACCCCTCCCTGCCTCCGCCCCTGTATGAATATGCAAATGACTCTACTTTGGCAAAACCCAACGAAAAAGCAATGGCAAAAGCAAGAAAAAGAAAAACTTTGAACAGAATGTGAATTGGAGGTGCTGCTTTCGGAGGTAGACCGGAGAAAAGCGGTGTTATTTGAAAGTTTGTTCTCCGGAATTAACAACAAAATTTAAAAATAGAGTGGGAGAGTTTAGCTGATGCGGTTAACACAGTTGGGTCTGAACATCGCACTGAGTAAATTAAAAAAGAAATAGTGTGATTTATAGGTGTAAAATGTTGCAGTGCACATAACAGTCTCAGTGGCGCAGCTCGTAAGACGCATGTCAACATATTTTGACTCATTCGAGCATGAACTCGGTTCGAATCTAGTGTCTGATGAACTCTTTCTTCTTTTTTCCCCCGCTACATATCAGATTTTGCCAACTATTTATCATGAGAAAGACACATTAATAAGTCTGTGCATCATATTTTATTTGCACATTTATTGAATGGAAATGTTTCTGATTCACGCATGCAAATTCATCTTCAGATAGTGTCTTTATAGCAATGTGCGTGCAGTAGATAGCTCAGATTACATTGGGAAAACAGGCGACCGCTGCAATTTGCGCTTTAATGTTTGGCTGGTCAACTGTATGGTATGGAAACCTTATATACCTGCTAGATGAACCCGTCTCATACAGCTGCCATTGCAAGGCTCAGACACTTTGTAGAGAGCAATTTAACACAACTGCCTCTAGGAGTCGCCAATAAAAATAAAACAGACACGCACAAAAAATGTGCGCACGCCAGCCATAAAGCACATTCCCACATTCAGTTCATCGTTAGTAAATCCAAACGTGAGCGATTCTAAGCATGAAACCTGGCGTAAAAACTTTGCGTACGCCAGGTTTCACGCTCAGAATCGCTCACGTTTGGATTTACTAACAATGAACTGAACGTGGGAATGTGCGCAGCTTCACGGCAGCTTTATGGCAGGCGTACGCACATTTTTTGTGCGTGTCTGTTTTATTTCCATTGGCGACTCCTAGAGGCAGTTGTGTTAAATTCCTCTCTACAAAGTGTCTGAGCCTTGCAATGGCAGCTGTATGAGACGGGTTCAGCAGGTATATAAGGTTTCCATACCATACATTTGACCAGCTAAACATTAAAGCACAATTTGCAGCAGTCGCCTGTTTTCCCAATGTAATCTGAGCAATCTACCGCACGCACATTGCTATAAAGACACTATCTGAAGATGAATTTGCATGCGTGAATCAGAAACATTTCCATTCAATAAATGTGCAAATAAAATATGATGCTTATTGATATGAACTTATTGATGATTCCTACTTGTCTTTCTCGTGATAAATAGTTGGCAAAATCTGATAAGTAGCGGGGGAAAAAACAAGAAAGAGTTCATCAGACGCTGGATTCGAGCCAAGTTCATGCTCGAACATATCAATTCATGATCACATTCGTCTTACGAGTAGCGCCACTGAGACTGTTCAGCGTTCTGCAACATTTTACAGATATAAACCACACTATTTCTATTTTTTAATGCACTCAGTGCGATGTTCAGACCCAACTGTGTTAACCGCATCAGCTAAACTCTTCCACTCTATTTTTTTCTTTTGTTGTTTATTCCGGAGAACAAACTTGCAAATAACGCCGCTTTTCTCCGGTCTACCTCCCAAAGCAGCACCTCCAATTCACATTCTGTTCAAAGTTTTTCTTTTTGCTTGATTTTGCCTTTGCTTTTTCGTTGGGTTTTTCCATTAGCATAGTCATTAGCATATTCATACAGGGGCGGAGGCAGGGAGGGGTTTTGTGCTCGTGCATGTTGCGCTCAGTTTCACGTTCATTCAGATGTACAAAAGAATATGCGTGAGATTCGGCGTACGCAGTGTTTCATACATCTGAATTTTTTTCTGCGTACGCACATTTACAGCTTTGTGCGTACGCAATTTTTTAGTAAGATTTCCACGCAAGTCTTCTTACATGAGGCCCCAGGTCTGTCGGGATCACATTTAGCATAGCTTAGCATAGATTATTAAATCGGATTAGACCATTAGCATATTGCACAAAAATGACCAAAAGAGATTACATAATATTTCTATTTAAAGCTTGACTCTTCTGTAGCAACATTGTTTACTAAGACCGACAGAAAAATGAAAAGTTGCTATTTTCTAGACCAATATGGCCAGGAAATATACGCTGATTCTGGCGTAACAATCAAGGAACTTTGCTGCTGTATTATTGATGCAGCAGGTGCAATATTAGTCTTCAATGGTAGCTACTTCCCTATAGTATTGTTCAAAAACACTATAGTATTTTAAATATTTTTAGTACTGTATTGTATTGTACACAGTATTTAGTATTTGCTATATTTTTTCATGTAAGTGCACTTGGGCACATTTGTGACTACATTTAATACAAATTAAATTCTAACAAGAACAAAGCATCAGAATTAACTTTAAGACATGTACTTCGAGGTTTGGTCCTGCTTCAGAAATAATTCCTCTACAGTCATCTTTCCATCAAGCAAGTTTCTCGTGTCAGCCCAATGATTGATTGGCGACATCAATCCATAGCGAGAGGTGGCAGTAATTTACCAAAAGGTTTGTTTTCGACCACCATAAAACACGAAGAAGAAGAGTTTGCCATTCTCGCTATCATATGGATTAACATTCATCAGCCAGACACCGGCTTCACAGCTCTGTGAATGGCAGTGGCGTCACTTAATGATCTACGAACGGTAAATGTTTTTGTGGACGCTAGTGTGGTACTTTATTTGATTTAGAATGTAGTAACGCTACAGCCACTCTACTGAGAAACGTAGCTAAGCTAGTAGCATCACTACTTAGTAGCGACGCAACTGCCCAACACTGGTAGCTTTTTTTTTAGTTGTTGTGATATAACTACACAGTAAAAAAATCTGATATTGTACGTTTTTACTTTAGCTGGGTTGCCAAAAATAAAACGTGAAATAACGGCCATTAAATTTACTTGGCCATTTGACATTTACCATAAAATAAAGGACGGTAAATTACTGAAATTTACCAAAATTATAATTTCCAGTTTATTTGTGTAATTTACTGTCTGTTACTTTACGATAAATGTCTATAATTTAACAGCCGTTATTTTAAGATTTTTTTTTACAGTGTATAGGGGCGGCGCGGTGGCACAGTGGATAGCACTGTCACCTCACAGCAAAAAGGTTGCTGGTTCGAGCCTCGGACATAATTCACGATCTCCAGAAATGTATATATGGGGGTACATTTTCAGAATGAGCCTATGTCACATACTTGTGTGTAACTGAACCTCCGCTAAGTCACACCCAAATACCGCCACCAACCAATCGTGGCTTAGCAACCATAAGTTGTGCCTGTGGGGGAAACCGGAGCACCCGGAGGAAACCCACACAACCGCAGGGAGAACATGCAAACTCGACACAGAAACGCCAACTGAGCCGAGGCTCGAACCAGTGACCCAGCGACCTTCTTGCTGTGAGGCGACAGCACTACCTACTGTGCCACTGCTTCGCCCTGATTTGCAATTCAATTTATTTATGTAAATAAATAAATATAATTTATTTATATTTATTTATTAATGCTAATTGGAATAGAAACTGGATGAAGAGAACACAAACATACTGACAGATATAGTTACTGTACATTGTTATGGGTCAATGATGCTAATATTAGGCACAAATCCATCAATTTTCTTGGTCCCACTTTATATTAAGTGGCCTTAACTAATATGTACTTACACAGGAATTAATAGTTTGCTACAATGTACTTATTGTGTAAATACATGTATTTACTGTATACTTATGCTTGATAAAATAAATGTATGTAATTACATCTGTAATTAGCTTTTGTAATTACATTTGTAAATACACTGTTGACCATCCCTTACACCTTAACCTACCCTTAAACCTACCCATACCACCAAACCTGTCCATAACCCAACCACAAGTGTTCTCAAATACATTATAAACACAGTAAGTATATTGTATTTATTTTTTTGATGTAAGTGCATAGTAGTTAGGGAAACTTAATATAAAGTGGGACCATTTTCTCTTTCTGGCTGCTCTGTCTACGGATGAATGATGTAGAAGCACGTTTCCTGGTCGGTTAGTAACGCTATATTTCATTGCACAACATTAATCTATCAGGCTTTTTGGCTAAAAAAGAGAAATCACAGTTTAATCTGTTATTATTAGGTTATTTTTAAATGTCACCTCTCCTGCTGTGCATGAGCTAATCTGTTGAATGGTATGAGGCGTATGAGGCGGCTAGGCTAAGCTAGCTTCAATTTTGATTGAATTATTCTCTAATCGGTCGCCTATTATGTTGTGAATATACCCCTGTAATGCATACTGCAGTCCTTCTTTTGTCTTGCTTTCTCGGATATACCACCTGTTCGCCATAAATGTCTAATTAAATCCCTGGCAACGTCTGACACTGGCGCTTGCACATTGTAATAGACAAGCCAGGCGCGAAAGCTTGACAGGCGCAGCAACAGCAACTAAGAGGGCGGGGCTTATCGAAAGGTCTATTAACATTTGCATTCTGCAGTTTAGTGTTAGACAGCCAGCATCTTTACAGTCACATGTTCTGAATTAACGCTTAAACCCAAACTATCCAAATCCTTAACGGTGACTCAAAGATAAAGAACAAGTCATCTATAAGAGTCAGAGTTAGTCATTAAATCTCATGTGATGATCCTGTTGCACAATATTCTGCATCTGGCTCGAATGTTGTGTGAGTAATGCGTGACAGCAAACAAAAGTGCTTATTTAAACTCAGAGGAACTTTGAGTTTCCTGTGTTTACACTTATAAGTTGCAATTTCAAGCTCACCCTCATGACTTCAGGAAACCTTGTCACAACAGCGTTTGGAGAGCACTGACCAGCATTGCATAAGCACGAACATTAGTTTGCTCATGTCAATAAATGCAGCAGGAGTGGAGAGAGAGGATAAATCCATAGTGCTTTAAGTGTATTTCCATGCCCTCGCTGCTGAAGAGGGTCCTCAAGATCACATCTTTCGCCCTGATACCCGCTGAAACACTGGCACTGGAAGTCTTTAGTCATCCGCCGGTGCTCTTCAACGCTCAAATCTCCTCGCACACGCATTTCACTCCCTTGGCCGACTATTGTGTGCGTCTTTGGGTCGAGATGCAGATATGTGTCCGTGTCTGCATGCCTGCGCAGACACCGTCCATGAGAACTGCACAGAAAGCCACTGCACTGCTCGGCAGCAGTGGAGACGTTCAGCAGGTACTGGCCCAGTGGACCGCGCAAGTACTGGTTTATACTGGAACAACTGGCCTGTGTGATTTAAAAAACAATTGTCAATCACAAATGTGTACTAAGGGTGTCACGATCCTCCAAATCCTCGATTCGATTACATTTTCGATTCTAAAGTCTTGATTCGATTCGATTTTCGACTATGAATAATTAATTACGAATCAATTATTAGTAGCCTACCGTTTAAACTACCTGACCTGCATGGTCTTTGTTTTACCCATAAACAAACCATACAGTAAATGAATAAAGGCAAGATACACACATAATTACAACCTGTCAATCACTTTTTTCTGCGGCACTCGTGAATAGGCAGTGATCTGCGTCGTTATAATGGCGTCGGTAAAAAAGGTGCACAACCAACAGAAACCAGCCAACAGTATCTGAGGTGTTCGCTAAAATGACTAAGTACTTGTGTGAAAGTAAAAGATGGAAGCAGTCTACTGACCCGCTGACTGCCTTGACCCGCTGTCTCGAGCGCATGACAATGTGTGTGCGTCTGTATCTGTGTGTGAATGAGTGTGTGTGGTCACGTGATGTGCGTTTTCAGCGGTAGTGAGGAAGGAGGGCTGCTCAGAAATGCTACACGCCAGTGTGGATGTGGATCGTTGTCGTTCTAAAATACCATTTAAAAACAAAGACAGTGTAAACAGGGCCTGAGTGTGTATTTTTCGCGAGCGGATTTGCAACGGGTGCAGGGCGGAGGATCGCGATGCGCCCATCATCTATCATCCCAACGGTAATACGTACATAGCAGAGCTTGCAAACTGTGTTTTTTTTTGTCGACAACACGAACGTTGTCAACATAACTAACTGGAAATCCAAAATACTTCCACACCGGCGACTTCATTGAAAGAGGAGAGGGTTTAGTTCTGTCGACAGGTCGATTAAAAATTAAAAATCGAAATCGTGACACCCCTAATGTGTACACATTCTTACAACATCCCCATGCAAGATAACTTAATCAATTGAGGGCAGCACTGCCGCCTCACAGCAAGACGGTCGCTGGTTCAAGCCTCGGCTGGGTCAGTTGGCATTTCTGTGTGGAGTTTGCATGTTCTCCCCGTATTGGCGTGGATTTCCTCCGGGTGCTCTGGTTTCCCCCACAATCCAAAGACATACACTATAGGTGATTTAAATATTATGACCATAGTGTGTGTGTGTGAATGGGTGTGTATGGATGTTTCCCAGTACTGGGTTGCAGCTGGAAGGGTATCCACTGTGTAAAACATATGCTGGATAAGTTGGCGGTTCACTCCACTGTAACTGAATAAAGGGACTACGCCAAAGGAAAATGAATGAATGAATAATGTGGTGTATGAATGCTTACATTGCTGCTGGCATAAGCAGCGTCACCCCAGAGAACGATACCAGCTGCGCCCAGAGCCACACTTTCTCCAATGGTGGACACCAGATCAGTCTGCGCACACACAAATAAGGAAACAAATGGTTAATTATTAAAGAAATATAAATATTAATATATGTTGAATATTTAACCCTGAAATCTGTAGGTCAAGGACCCAGATATTGAATGGGGAGTGTTTTGTACAACATGGGCTCATTCTGAAAACGTAGCCCTATATATGGTTCTGGAGAACGCAAATTATGTAGCCAAAAGTATGTACGGCTGCGTTTGATTTTTAAAATGAACACTAGAGCTGCACAATTAATTGTTAAAAGGATCTCGATTCGACCCCCTCGATGATCTTAATCCAGCATTTCTACGATTCTGCCATTCATATTTTCAAGTTCAGGAGAGAAGAAAAGGCGGCTGCACGAGTCTTTTCATTGTTTCACACACGTTGCTCAGTGACATTGACACCTCCAAATGATGTTGAATGAGTCACATACTGTATTTACAAGGTGTAATTCACCTAAAAATGTCATTTTTGTCGTAATATAATGATGTTTTCGCGGCCGGGAAATCGTCACGTGACGTGAGCTGCTGACCGTGAGCTGTAATCACAGAGAGGCTGTGCGCTCTACTTAATGATAGACGCACGCGTGTACTTTAGTGAACAGAACCTGCATATGTTGCGACTGCGAGTAACAGGTAATACAGTTGTAAATAATATTCAGTTTGTGGCACAGAGTGATCGTTTGGGAGCCGCGCGCAAAGTATGAACAAGCACTTAAGCCTGATTTATACTTCTGCTTCAAGTGACCGGCGTAACTCACGGCGCAGGCAACGTAAGCTGAGCTGTGCATTTATACTTCTGCTGTCTCTGTTGGTCTGCATTAACATCTCCGAAACGCTAGTGGGCAGTGAGGTGTAAATGTTCCTCTGTGTCGAGTTTCTTCGCTTCTGTTTTGCTTTTCTGAACACTTCCTGAATGTACAAGTGACTCAAACTCGCTCATTTTGAGGCAGGAACCGGCGGACGTGCAACAACTTTAACCATGAGGTAAACACAGAACAAAACTATCCATCCGGAGCTCCTCCACACTTGTAAACAATCGCTCCATCAGGCTCGCACCATTCACGCGGCTCTCGGTCCCGCCCAGACTCATCAGAGCTACCAAGCCGACCAATCACAGAGCTTACGCTACGCGTCATTGCGACGTGTAGTTACATTTTTTGAGAGGTGCACGTCAGCGACGCTGACGGCCACAGCGAAGGGCTATGCGTCAGCGCCGTAGCATACGCCGGCGTTTGACGTAGAAGTATAAATCAGCCTTAAGCTGTCAAAATGAAACCGAAAGTGTGCACTTCATTTAAATGATCATATCGCATTTTAGAGTTATGATTACGACAAGCGTTTGATATGTTTTTTCTTTCATAGTGAACCCACAGTTGTGCATGAAAATAAATGTTTAAAGTGTCAGTATAACTACTCTAGCCTATATATTGTTGAATATAATCTGATAATGGCAAATGTCTGATTTTACCAGTGAATCAATTTGTCTAATATGACAGATTGCAAGCATATATCTCAAACATAATAATTCAACATCAGAATTATTATAAGTAGAATAGAATTATTTATAGAAACCATAAGACCTACACATAATATTATTATCGATGTGCTTGTTTTTACCATACCTTTATTTTACATCTACAGAATCGTGTGAAAATCGTGATCTTTATTTTAAGCAAAAAAAAAATCACGATTCTCATTTTAGCCAGAATTGTGCTGCTCTAATGAACACATTAGGGCGGTATGATGCCGTTCCTTTTTGTGCTTACCAGCTGAACGCTTACCTTCATATAGACAGCTTTCAATCGGTTTTGGGGTTAATCGGTGCTTTTGAAAACACTATCGGTTGGGTTTAGGCAAACAGGACAGTGGTTCAGTCGATCGGTCAGTCAGTTAGTCATTAGTGGCCTCTGGTGCGTTTACATGAGAACAGCAGGCATGAATGGCGCTCGTGAGAGAAATTTGAGAGCTCAAAAAGCATACACAGCAGCCTTTGATGGATTCGCGAAAACAAAACTACAAAAAACCTAGCTACTTAATCAGGGTCTCTTCCATCTATTCCATATCCATTTTCAAACAAAAAAACGAAAACTAAGTAAAATTAGGTTTTTCATTTTTGTTTCTTTTGCTCCCAAAAAAAACAACTAAAAAACAAGATTTTGGCTCGGTTTTTTATTTTATTTATTTATTTATTTATTTTAGGGTAGGAAAATGAATAAATGACCTTTAAAATTCATTATACACATGTAGACGGTGCTGAAACATCCTTTTTAATCTAATTGGTCAACCACATCTGAGCTTGTGACCCCACCCTTGAAAAAAAGCTTCCCTTTGTAAACAACCCTTTGTGTACAATAAAAAACACTAAATAAACAATGTTTATTATTATTATCACAATTATTATTATTCATTAATTTTCTTTTTGGCTTAGTCCCTTTATTAGTCTGGGGTTGTCACAGTGGAATGAGCCAACAAATCATGCATATTTTTCACGCAGCGGATGCCGTTCCAGCTGCAACCCATCACTGGGAAACACCCATACACACACACACACACACACTACCAATTAGTGTGTATTTAGCTTACCCAATTTACCTATAGCGCATGTCTTTGGCTGTGGGGGAAACCGGAGCACCAGGAGAAAATTCAATTCAGCTTTTTTTGTATAGCGCTTTTACAATGTCGATTGTGTCAAAGCAGCTTCACATAAATGTAAAATAGTAAATTGTAACAGAGTAGTTCAGTTTTTATTGTTTAAGTTCAGTTCAGTTTAGCTCAGTTCAGTGTGGTTTAAAATCATTACTGAGAGTCCAAACACTGAAGAGCAAATTCATCAATGGGTAGCTCTACCGATCCCAAACCATGTAAGCTGCTGGCGACAGCGGAGTGGGAAAAAAAACTTCACCGATTGGTGAGTGAAGAAAAAAAAAAACCTTGAGAGAAACCAGACTCAGTTGGGCATGACCCACGCGAACCCACGGGGAGAACATGCAAACTCTACACAGAAATGCCAACTGACCCAGCCGAGGCTCGAACCAGCTGCCTTCTTGCTGTGAGGCGATTGTGCTACCCTATGAGCCACCGCGTTGCCTTTATTATTATTATTATTGTTATTAATAGTAATATTATTATTATTTAGGCCTACAGTAGCTGTGAAAGAATCAAGACAAACAGGTTCTGCTCCGAAATGGTTCTTTGCTCAGCATCAGGTGCACTGCAGCAAGACGTTTGACAGCAAACTATAGGCATATATTATTATTATTCATTCATTTTCTTTCCGGCTTAGTCTTTTCGTATTATTATTATTATTATTATTATTATATAGGTCTTGCTCAGAAGCAATCATGCAAACCAGTCTCTGCTCGGAAATTTGACCTTATTTTGACCTTATTTTAATGACAAATGTGTAAAAATAATGCTAATTTATGCTTTTATTTAATTTATACGCAACAAATGTAAGCCTGCTAACTGATCAAATGATAGAATATGTAAACTTCGTTTATATACAGTATATAATTAAATAATAATAATTAAAAGCCTGGGTGCTGATTCCCAGAGGACTAATTTTTGAGGGGGTGTCACAAGCTCAGTTTTGGTTGACTAACCAGTGAAAAAGGGGCGTTTCAGCACCGCCTACATGTGTATAATCAATATTAAAGTCGTTTATCCATTTTCCTATCCTAAACAAAAATCAAGCCAAAATCATGTTTTTCGTTAGTTTTCCTTTTATTTGTTTGAACATATATGGCATAGACTGAATATACCCTGATTCTCCTTGTACGTATTTGGCGGTCTCCAGAAATAGATACGTTTTCGGAATGAGACTGTGTTGGTTTTGTAACAGCATTATAAACTTGGAAAATGGAAAATAAAATGTAGGAAATCAGCTGGAATGGTGTGGTGGGTGGTGGCACTGAAAATGTGACCAGCACCCTTCCTGTTCTCCCGCAAACACACACACACACACACAGATTCAGAGATAAAGAGCAGAGATGATGGTTATGCAAGGAAAAGTGGCAAACCACACAAAGATCACATGCGCAAACACTCGCTTTAATCTTCAGTAAACTGCAAGGCTGGTCTGGATGATCAAATGAACACAGCAATGTTATGAAAGTGCAGCAGAATCAAATTTTCTTGGACTATTTATTTAGTACAGAAGACAACAAAAATAAAGCTTTAACAAAATGAAACTTGACATTTCCAGATTTCATCACGATTATTAATTGTATTGAAAATCTTTATTATTATTAATACATGTTGTCTTACATGTTGTGGGTGTATACAGTACTCAGCATATATAAGTACACCCCACACAAATCTATATTTTAAATCCATATTTTAACAGGAAGCTACAGTTGAAATCAGAAGTTTACATACACTCTAAAAAAAGCAACATAACCATTAGTTTTTAAATGTCTGATGGAAAATCATACTAAACGTTTTACTCTGTTAGGATTACCTAAATTATTTACATTTGCTAAATGCCAAAATAATAAGAGGTTTTTTTTTCCGATTTTTTTATTAATTTCTAGACAGTCAAAAGTTGACACACATTTCCTCTGAATTTTTGTAGCTTTGCTTTTAAACTTTATAACTTTAGTCGAATGTTTTGGGTATCCTTCCACAAGCTTCTCACAATAGTTTTTGGCCCATTCATCCTGACAGAATTGATGTAACTGAGTCAGATTTGTAGGCTGTCTTGCTCGCACAAGCTTTTTCAACTCTGCCCACAAAAGTTCTACAGGACTGAGATCAGGGCTTTGTTATGGCCACTCCAAAACATTCACTCTGTTGTCCTTGAAGCACATTTTAACTAATTTGGCAGTATGCTTAGGGTCAGTTTGGAAGACCCATTTGTGGCCAAGTTTTAATTTCCTGGCTGATGTCTTGAGATGTTGCTTCAGTATTTCTACATGATGTTCTTTCTTCGTGATGCCATCTATGCTGGGAAGTGGACCAGTCCCTCCTGCAGCAAAACAACCCCACAACATGATGCTGCC